ATACCTCATGTTGCTTCTGAGTCAGATGGGCCCTTGTTTACCTTCAGTCTTTAAGACCCCAGACGCTATGTCTTTTGATAGCCTGGCTCCATCAGCTTTCTTAACCACGTTTGCTTATGCACCTGCTTTGTCTTCAGCGATTGTGTTGGGAAGGTGAACATCATGGAATTATGCTGTACATTTTTATGGGAGCAGGTAACTTCAGTGTACTCATGGCAGAGGCTGGTGGTTTGAACCATCAACCTCTGAAGTTAACAGTCCAGTCCTACCAGGCTTCCAGATACTGGTATTGATTCCTTTTAGTCCCTGAAGTTGACTTCTCTCTATATATGTTCCTATTCCTCAACCACATAGTTAGGTAACAGAGACTAGGTTCTTAGGGAAATTGGTGTTATGTGTGAGTTGAGGAGCTGCACCCAGTCTTCAGAGCTGGTATACCAGCTGCCTGCTTGGTGCTCCTGGTGGGTTCCTGGGTGCATGTGGTGCAGATGAGGGCCACTCTCCCACCACTGCAGAGCCCACAGGGCTTAGAGATGTGGTAGTAGTTGGATGTTGCTTGTGCCTGCCCTGGGCAGAAAACCCACGTTTCTTCCATCTACCCCAACCTCACAGTCTTATAAGACACACCCCCTCCCCTTTTATGTGCGGTCCACCCCCACCCCCGCCTCCCTGGTCTCTTCCCCCACATTACCCTTTGTCCACCCTGACCTTGTGCCATCCTCTGGGACAGATCACGACCACACAGGTGAACTGGAGAAGGCCTTCATGTGTCCTTCATGTTGTCCAGTCACACTAGGGATTCTGTTATGTCATTCAAGGTGGGTTGTGGAGGGCACCCCAAGCCCAGCCACGAGCACTTGTGGGACCCAGGCAATTGAAGATGCCCCGAGTATTTTTTTCAAAGTTGCCACATATGTGACATGTTGAATAAGATCACTGCGGGCGATGGTGGGTGTGCATAGATGAGAGGCTTTCATCTGGAGATCCATCTGGGCACAGCTGGAGTTCCTTGGGTGCCCATTCCGCTTCACATTTAAAAAGTGATCACAAGTTAGAGTGCGGGCAGAGTGTGTCAACTGGTGCACCTGAGTGATAAGCCACCCTTTTCATCTGAGAACCCTGAATGTCAGTCAGCATCTGTGTTCTCCCTAACGCTATTCCATTTCTGCAAAGGAGACTCCAGTCTCCTGCTAGTGAGGTAAGCACTCTAAGCTGGCAGGAAAGGAAATGGAGTCCCCGTTCAAAGTACAAGACTTCCAGTGAATCTGGTAGCTTTAATCTGGTGTCTGCTTCCTGGCCTTCCTGTGTCCTGTGTGACCCAGTCAGAGTCTGCCTGCTCAGTGGAATTGAAGGGACTGCTTCCAACAGGGGAAAAGAAACTGTCCCTCTTCCAAGAATTAGTACTGCCCCTGGCTTGTTGGCAGTACCATGGAAGGGGTCCTGGCAATTTGCTTTCCTTAAGACCATAACCAAGAAGGTGCTGTGTGTGGACACAGCCCTAGTCTGCTCTGTGACACATGGGGGCCCTGTAAGTCAGAACAACTCAGCCGCAGTAGTGGGTTTGGGTTTTGGAATTCAGAAGCAGCACTGAACTGGAGAGCTGCTCTTGGCTTTACAGGAAGATGGCTGGCCAGTGCCCGGAATGCTGAGACCATGGCGTCCCCAGCCTTTCCTGGAGTCTATGTGGCAGATTGACTCAGAAGTCCCACGTTTTAGTTTCAAGCCTTTGGGTAGAGTTCTTTCCAGGCACCACGGTGTGTGTGTGTGTGTGTGTGTGTGTGTGTGTGTGTGTGTGTACGTACGTGTACACATATAACTTTTTAAGGCTTCTGTAAGTACATAGATACAAAGTTTTTGTTTTTCTTTTAAAATGCTTAGTGAAGCAATCTTCATCAATCATTGAGGGAATAAACTGCTTGTGTGTTACAGGGAGTGAAAGCTGTTTTGGCTGAAAGCTATGAAAAAATTCACAAAGACCATCTGATCGAAATCGGCATTGCGCCGCTTCAGTTCCTTCCTGGCGAGAACGCGGACTCCTTGGGCCTCTCCGGCAAAGAGACCTTTTCCTTAACCTTTCCCCAGGAACTCTCTCCCGGAATTACGTTAAACATAAAGGTACTTCTGAAATTCTCAAGTGATGATTGTGTACTGTGGAATGAGATATGATTTTCAGCTGAATAAGGATTATTCATCGTAAATTGTATACTGGCATCAATTAATGAGTCCAAGTTTTTAAGCTGTTTCCTACATGCTTAAGCCTGTGGCAAGACTCTTGATGCTGTCTCAGAAAAAGTCGAGAGAACTCGATGGTTAGTGTGGTGTACAAAAAACAAACCTGGGTGTCGATGTCCACGTGTGAGGGTGATGGAAACTCACAGTTAGGGTCGTCAAGGGAGAAGGAGAAGCAGACTGGTGGGTGGGTGTGAGCCCTGCACAGTGACGTGCGTTGCCTTGCAGACGGTGCACACGCGCTCCCAGTCCATTAGAGGCCACCCGAGATACTCTTCCTAAAGAGAACCCGTAGCTTCAGTAGGAAAAGAAAAAATTGCACACCCTTTTGTGGTCAGTATGGTGTACCTGGTTATCCAGTTAAATTCCCAGGAATGGATTTATTAATCTGTAGCTATATGATTGGGAAAGCTTTGTTTTTTCCATTGTGGAAAGATTCCACATGCACATATACACATGTATGTACCCATAGGCTTAATTTCCTTTAACAAAGCTCTGTATGGAAGTGCATCTTGCTTCTCTGGTGTAGTCCAGATCCCGAGCCAGCCAGCCGCCCCCTGCTTCACTCTTCAGCAGGCATCTAGACTGAGCAGACAATTCACCTGGAATTTATTGTTAAAGAAACAAAAATAAAAAGCTCCTTGCATAATGTGCCTAAATCTACTGTTAGAATGGAAGAATTTTAGATTCATCAGATCTGAACAAGCCGCTTAAACATTTGGCCCAGCCACCTTTATGGTACATGTGCGTGAGCCAGGGTGCCTGAGGTGCGTAGCAAGTTCATGACATGACAGAACTGAGCTCCGGCTCCTAGCACTTGAAGTCAGTGTCTGCTCTTCAGTGTCGCTGACAGCCCCCCAGGAGCAGATACCTATCTGGATGAATGCCTATAGTATAAAATGTTTAATTGCCAGGGTGTGCTGAGTTTTTTGTTTGTTTGTTTGTTTGTTTGTTTGTTTTCTGAGAAGGGGGCAGTACTGGGCAGTAGGGAACCTAACCTACGCCCCAGCGCACCCACTGCTTCCATCAGATAAGGTTGGTTATACACCTATCTGTGGTACTGGAATTTCATTATCAGTTTTAGTTGGGCTTTCCTAAGTAACAGCTGATTGCTGGTCCGGTCCTGAATGCTGTGGGTTTAGAGAGGGAGGTGGGTCTGTTGTCGGAATTAGGAGGCCATCCCCTTTTGAGGGGTGTTGAGAAATGAGATATCCCACAAATCAAGTGGGAGGATTTTAGACCAGGGATCCACTCGATGGCGGTGAGTTTGGTTTGGGTACTTGGATTTCTAGCTGTGTGCAGCTAAGAAGGTGTGTTGAATGTAGTGGGGGAGTTGGTGAAGCCTGGTAAAGTTGAAGGGTTGGGTAATGGCTGACTCAGGGCTCAGAGCGCCAGGTGGCCATGTTCTTGGGAAAGTCACACGTGTTTGCCTCCTTTTCCTTGTTTTCTGCTCCTCCTGTTCAGATCCAGTTTTAAACTTGAGTAGCCTTTGGGTTAGGGTAGACTTTACAACTAGGAAGAAAAAGGAAGAGTAACAAATGTTATATACGGTGAATACTTGATGTATTATGAATATGACTATTAAAATACAGCTTCTCTGATGAATAAGTAGACATCTAAGCCTGTGATTTGGTGCTCTACAATGTATACTTGCCAAGGATTTTTTTCTGTTTTAGCAATAAAATTCTAGGTCTGGTACCTTGGTGGTATTTTGTATTTGGGGGATCTGTGCCTCCCACCCAACCCACAGGTGTAAGAGTCTCAGGCAGTCGGAATGCCGTTATCCTCCATTTCCAAACATTTGCTTTATGTCACTTTCACGTGTATGAAAAAGATAAAATAGAACATTTTACATTTTGCGCTAGACCAGTGGTTCTCAACCTTCCTCATGCCGCAGCCTTTTCATACAGTTCCTCATGTTGTGGTGACCCCCCAACCATAACATTATTTTCGTTGCTACTTCATCACTGTAATTTTGCTACTCTTATGAATCAGGCGATCCCTATGAAAGGGTCATTCGACCGTGACCCACAAGTTGAGAACCGCTCCGCTAGACAAGTTCAGAAGAGAGTTTTCATTGTTACAAGAAAAGGTGGAAAGGGGCCCACAGGAGAGCTAGCAATCAGCAATTGAAGAGGCTCCACCCCTCATACCCCAGGCCTTGTGAGCGGGGAACTGCACGTGGCCTCACAGACACGTGGCTTGTCCATGAACAGTGTATGTCAGTGTTGCATGTCAGGTATGACAAGGGGGCTTTACATAGTTCATGGACAAATGAGATCAAAAGATAGTGGAACTTCCCATGAACCATTTGGGTGCCTCCCTGTCTGTGTTCCTTGGTCTGATTTGGTAGATTACTTTTGGGTCTAGGAATGCTCCAAGATTTTCTCCATACACATTAATGGTCATGCTGCTTCCCCCACCGAAGGTTTCCTGGGAACACCCTGCTTCCAGCTCCCAGGGAAGCCTGTATAAGAAATTAGAGCTGGGAGACTCGGGTTTCTGACAGGTGGTCACTGAATATGTCGACAAGTGTGGAGATTGCATGGCTGATGTGAAGTGTTTTCTGTTTCTTTAAAGACAAACACTGGGAAAGTTTTCAGCGCCATTGCTTCCTTTGAAAATGATGTGGAAATAACATTATACAAACACGGAGGATTATTAAATTTTGTAGCACGGAAATTCTCATAGTATCCACTCACCAGGAGACCTTCCATAACAGATAAGGGCAGAGCCGCCCGCCTGAGCTGCAGCCGGGAGTCCTCACCACGGAGCTGCGGACCGTCCAGCGCACCACTCTCCCATCCACGCCGGCAACGATTACAAATCAACGTAGGGACTGAAAGGACCCTTGATTTTAAATAATACACGAACGGTGCTATTAACGATGCTAAAATCAGCGTGTGAAGTGTGTTGTGGAAGAGGCCTGTAAGTATGGGGGGAGGGGGAGATTTTATCACACCATTTTGTAAATAAAGGCAGAATTTGAACTTGTGTTGAAGATTCTTATCTGAGTAACTTTCCTGACATTTGTTTTGTTTGCACCTGCCAACTGTGCACTGCTCTTGTTGGTTTGAGAGTAGCCAGTTGAAATATCAAAAGCCAGATTAGACTCTAAAGTGATAGAAGTGGGAAATTGGTTTATAAGTGAACTTTCCAAATAGATTCATTTCTTTTCAGAATTGAGCTGGACTCTTGGCTTTCTTTGTTTGTAATGTCAACCAAAGATAGAGCCTACCCCAGAACACAGTCCTTTGGCCGGTTACAGGCACCCTCTACGCTCGTCCTAACAGGTGCAGATTGGGAATGTTTTACCAGGACCCTCCAGCAAGCCTCAGGTGGCATGGTAGTATTTAGATTCAACTATTTTGCACACTTGATGTGATACTATAACTTATGGCATATTTCAGGTATCATTAACCACATTTTCACATATTTTATAGTCGCTAAAGAGAAGTTTAATCATTAAACTCTACAATTATTTTCTCTAGACCTTTAAATTACCCACTCTTAAATTATATGATTGCTCGACTAAGCATTTTTTAAGATTTTGATGATTTCTTATTTAAATTGATTTCCCATTACTGTTTTATTCCTTCCTCTACCTGGGATGCCTGGTTCCCTCCATCTTATTTTAACTAGAGTATAACTAGAGCTGACCATTGGGAGAAAACAAACACTATATTAGCACCACATTTTCTTCTATGAATGTTTGTTCACTGTGCTGAATGTTCTGTCAAAACAAAGTTTAGCAGCATTGAAGAAAAGGGTTGAATAATTCCAGAAAGGTCGATATTGTCTTTGAATGAAGAAATTAAGCTTGGTAGGCAAAAGGTTAAACATAGCAGTTTGTTTTTCTCATGGAATTGTCTTTATATGACCCAGTACTGCCAGTCAGAATGAGCTCCTGGTGCACCGGAATAAAGAAGGAGTTCTTTTACACGGAAACAACTGGAATGAACAAAGAAGGGCTGCCGGCCACAGCAGCTCTGCACGTGTTCACGGCCTGTGAGAATGTGGTGCAGGTGCGTTCACACAGGAATGTGGACTGGAGTTCCATAGAACAGTTCCCTCTGTTTGAATTTTATAAAATCATGTCTTTGGTTTCTTCAGCGTGTGAGCTTGACGTTATATTGTGCTATGCTATGTGTGTGTCACGGCCTGTATTTGTTTATTCATATGCTAAACATGAGTTGGAGATGGCAGATTTACAAGTTGAAGGGTAAGAAGATACTTGTTCAATGCTTTGACGATGTGGTAGTGACAGGTTGTGTTGGGGAGGAATCTGTATTAGTTTGAAATCCTCCTACCAGCAGAGGCAGGAGCATCATAAACCGCCAGTCTAAGAGAGGAAGCCAGGTGACAGGGCGGAAGTATATTTCCACTCTATCTGGTCTAGCTGCTGACAGTAGCAAATGTTATTTTGGGAGCAGAATCAAGTTTCTCTTAAGTCTCAAGCTTATATACAATGAACCAAAAGCTTAGGGTGTGTGGTTTTCATTTCAGGAGGGAGTCATACATGTACAAGGTGATGTCGGCAGTTTCTTGAGCAGGGAGAAAGAACATGGAACCAAACGGACACACATACACAGAGACAGTACAAAACTGCAGCAGCCTCGACAGCCCGCAGTGCTTTATTATTTATCGATTAAATACTGTTCCCAGACAAATAATACTGTTTATTATTTATCGACTAAACACTGGCAGTGTTCCCAGACAAGTTTGCTGTTCTCACACTTGAGTTTCTCATAGCCTTGAGAGTGAGTTCTGTATCTCGGCCCATACCGGTGTTAACATTTCTACCAGGGAAATACTGTGTGCAGTTGTTTCCACAAATCATCCCACTGTTTGCAGTACAGATGCTGTTTATGAGAACCAACTAGGTCAGACGTTTGCGTCCTGTCCTAGACAGATACATGACACGAGACACAGTGCTCCTCTCACGACTCCTTCACAAGGGGTTTCAAAAAGTTTGTGGGGTAATTTCATTGTCCTGCAATTCCATTCTTCCATGAGCTCTTTGAAGCCTCCTTGTCCCAGGGTAGACATTATAATTCTGCCCCTAACCAAATGCTGTGGGGGCAAACGTAGCCCTAGGTTGGCTTGTATTGTCCTACAATACATAAATCTCTGTTGGCTATAGAGGAATCATTTCGTGTTAACACCAAAAAAAAAACACAATGTGAAAAGGGAATAAAAGAGGCACTGGAAGCAAATCGGTGTTGGGGATGAATTTAAAGTTAACCATTTTAAAAGTCATTACAACGGCATTCACTCCACCACCCGCTTCCAAAACATTACCCTTTGAGTTTTGGCATTCTTGGTGTGTCATCCACCCAGCAAGTCATTATGATTATCCCTAATACATTCCCGATATGATCGTGGTGGCTTCCCATTTTATGTCCAAGCACACACTTGGGCTTCCATTAACTGAATTGCTCATGATAAGCAAACTGCCCTGTAATTAAAGAGGTGGCTGTCACACCAGGGCCTGAATGGCGGAAGACATGCTTGGGGATGAGTTGCAGCGAAAGGAGACACTACTTGACATTTTGCTAGGACTGGATTTGAAAATGACTCATTTTAGGTGTAGGAAAAATACTGAATATTGACCCTAAACTTAGTTTGGTTTAGAGTAACAAAAGGGGTGAACTCAGGCTTTGTTGATGTTGGTTTTTTCTCCTCAAGTGTGATAGCACCAATATTTCTGTCCATTTTACACACTTGAAAACCACATATCTCACGTAACTACAGATCATTGTTTATTATTTAAAGTCAACAAAACAGTGCAACAGTTATACGTTCAATAATGTTAAGTATTGTATAGAAATATATTGGAGGCAAAGTTCAGTTGATGACAATTGTCTATATGTTACGGATGCTGTAAATTATTTTTAATAAAGAAAATTGTATTATCACATACTTGATTCTTGTTAAGTTTTGTGGTAATGAAAATAAACACCCTAACTTTAAAAGAAATGAGAGATGCCATCTAGACATTTCTCTTCAAACATGCTTTCTAAGTGTTCAGACCTTCCTTATGCCTGATGCCACTCTAGGATATAAAAAGACTGTTTCCCAGCTCATCGCCCCCAGATCCATCTATGTCAGACCTGCAACTAAAGGTAAATGATTGTCGAGCTATTTCCCTGAAGGCATCAGCCATCCAGAGCAAGCAGCCTACTGTCTGTCCCACTGTAGGTGGGGCTCACGCCTTGCTGTTAAGGATAGTGGATTGCTTCCCCTGAAAGCTTAAAGTAAATCAAGTCTCCAGCTCAAGGGCAATCAAGGGTTAGGCCTCCATGAATCTAGAATCCACCCATCTTGTCACATGCAAACCCTTAATCCCTCCTCTTCCTAGATTGTCCCCCTCCCATTACTGTAGTACCGATAATACAACCCCTTCCTGTGACGTATGTCTTTGCCTGTAATTAGGGGGCTTGCACCCCCCCCCCCAAGATATATACGCCTTGGTTAGCAATAAATCACTTCTTCTCTGACCGTGTTGTGTGTGGACCTGGCTGTTGAGATCATGGCTATCCAGGAGGTGAGCATGCTACCATGAAATGTGTCTGACTTTCATTTTACCCTCTCTCCCATCTCTCCTATTTCTCCATGGGTTTATTATAATCTTTATTTATTTTAACCGTACAATTGCATTTCCTGAACCTGTGATAGTGTGTGGGGCAGGCTTCCCCCACAAGTTCCATTTACTCCTGAGCCAGTAATAAAGTAAGCCCAAGGCCAACTTTGATTAGGAGTAACCTGAAGGAGAAATCACCAGGAGAATTAAAAGAAAAACAGCCGAAAGGTTCTAAGGTGTCATAGTTCACAGAGTTGAAGTCTAAAGGGATGATCCCATCGACAAAGCAATTCTAATCAGCAGCCATCTAATCAGATGTTTTGTTGGTTTATGTCTTTTGAGCTAAAAATCTTCCACCTCTTACCTTACTACTCATTGATGCTCTCTTCCCCTAATCTGTCTGCTTCTTCAAACATTTCTTCTTCTACTATGTACAAAGGTATTTCTGGGGGGGAGGGGGGGATGTTCCAATTCACACGTTTTATTCCTAACAAAATGTGCTAAAATGTCACAGTGGCTACAGACAAGTTCTCTCAGTAACACTAATTGCCTTAAAAACCAAACTCCCTGCTAAAGTAAATGACCCCTGTGGGTTTGAGACTAACTCTTGAAAGTAGAGTAGAAAGCCCACTGTCCCAAGGAACTGCTGGTGGTTTTGAACTGTTGACCATGTGGATCACAACCCCAAAGCATAGCCACTACACCACCAGGGCTCTTTAATCTTAAGGAACCTTCAAAAAATAAGTCCAATTAAAGCTTTCACTTCCATGGGGATCTGCTCATTCGTTTATGATGACTGATTTGGGGGGCTTCCAATTCATCCTGGAATATTTTCTCAAAGAAGGAATGATCGTGGGCTTGTTATAAAGATGTGACAGGAAACCCGCACCGGGGAGGAAAGGGGCCAGGGAAAGTGCACTGGGAATTTTTTCCCACCATGACAATGCACATGTTCATTCTTCCAAGAGTGGTTAGGGCTATCTGACAAGAATCCTGCATCAAGAAACCTCACCCCACACCTCCTATAGCCCTGCAATTGCCCCATTCAGCCCTCTGTTTGCAAAACATTGAAAAGGAACAGAATTTGAGTGCCTCCGCCTGAGGAAGTCAAACTGCCCTGTGACGAGCAGATTGAAGGGTGCGACAGGTTTGGAGACAGAAACTTTGCTTTCAGAGGTGTGGAGACCTGGGTCGAGGATGGACATTTCAGATTCCATGATCAAATCCTGTGAGTTCAATCTTTGAAGCATGTTCCAAACCCAACCATCTTGCTTTACAAGGGCTTCATTTATAGTACCAGAGGGTATCAAAACAATGGAATTTTTTTTCAAAACTATTTACATTTCTTTACACGTGAGGGTGGGAAGAGGGAGGAAGGGGGAAAAAGAGGAGTGAATACCAAGGGCTCAAATAGAAAGTAAATGTTGATAGAGACAGTAACTGGATTAATGGTTACTTGGCGGTCTGGCAGGGAAGGTTGGGGGAAATGGGGCGCTAATAACAAGGAGCACAAGAAAGAAGAAAATGTTCTAAAACTGATTGTAGTGATGATTGTACAACTCTTCTTGATGTGATTGAACAATTGAGTTGTATGATATGTGAATTATCGGCCAATAAAACTGTTGAAAAAAAGTAAATGTTTAGAAAATGATGAAGACAACATATGTGCAAATATACTTGATACAATTGCTGTATGGATTGTTATAAGAGCTGTAAGAGCCCCAGTGATTTTTAAAAAAATAATAAAATAAATTTCCTTATGAAAACAACCATATCACCTTCAAAGTACTCTCTATCATACTTAATACATTTGTCAAATCTGTGATTCCATTCTTGGAAATATCCAAACTTACCTGTTTGGATGGCTGGCAGAACCTTCCTCATTTTTTTTCCTTCACCTCTTCTATGTAATCAAATCACTGTCCTTTCATGTTCCTCTTCATTCACAAAAACAAAAAGAAGTCTCATGGAACAAGGTCAGGTGAATCAGGTGTGCAGGGCAAGAGAGGTGTGCTGTTTTTTGCCCAAAACTGGTGCATTGAGACGGTGGCAAAACCAATCCCACGTCTGCCTCAAATCACACACGGTTACACTATCTTTACAGAACCTCTAAGTAGAAAGCTTGAATAACAGTCTGACCTGGTGGAACAAATTCCAAATGCACTCGCATCCAAAACACAAATGAGTCATTTGGGGAGGGTACCCCCTCATATGTCCTTGTTCCTACATGTTTGAAAAGGTGATTTCCCTTCGAAACTGTTGTGCCCCCACCAACTTACATCACCCATCTACAGAAGCCCACCATTGCCTTTTCATCACATTGCACATGAGCCCAAAGCCCCAACTGTCACTCCCAGGCCCTACAGTCCGATTCGTCCACGCCCCCAACTCATCCCCCACCTCCTTACCGGTCAATCAGTCCTGCTTCAGCCACACTGGCCTAACTGTTCCTGGGACACGAGGTCATTCTTGTCTCAAGGCCTCTTTACTTACTTTTCTCCACCTGGATAGCTCTTCCCATCTACATTGATGTGGTCTATACCTTGAGAGGCCTTCCTATTTCCTCAAAAATTATGAATATTTGAACCATTAGCATATGCATGCATTGATACTAGTTTCTGTGAAGCAAACTTAAAAATAAGCCTTACTCATTTAGAGTCTACATTTCACACTATGCCTTAAGAGTAGGAGAAAGGGCATGTGTTTTTAGAGCAGTAGGCTGTTGACCACACTGACAAAACATGAGGGATGGAGAGGATCAGGTCAACCCGAACTGACTTCACTAGAGAACACCATCAAAGGGAGGAGAGGATGCCTTCCACGGGTTCTGAAGCACTGAGGCTCCTGTCCGCAAGCCCCTCCATCCTGGGGCCAATCCCTCCTATAGTACACAACGAACTCCGAGGGAACAGAAGACCTCCGTCCAATTCAGTCCCAAGGGGTTGCTTGAACACAATTATGTCCATGTTAAAGATCTGTAGTATGGAAGATAAGTATAGTTCAGCTCCTAGAGGAAACACAGAGGGCAGGGAGTGGACACTGGGAGGGGCAAAAGGAGGTGGTTCTAGATCTCACAACCATATTCCATCTTTTCCCTCTTCCCATGAAGCATGGAAAAAGACCAGACCAGTCTATATAGAATTGAGACAAGATGAAGACTCAGGAGCTACCGGCAGGCCAACAAGGAGTTAGACTCAACTGTAGAAGACTCATCTTAAAAGAATAGACAACTTGTTATATGTGTTAATATATACTATGCACCCCCACCCACTCCAAGACTCGGTGGGGGTGGGAGTCCTGCACCTTGAAGACTACTGAGTGAATAGCACCATGTCTAAGGGAAATTGAAGGCCTTGGTATAGGCCTTCAGATACACCAGGTAGGGTGCTACATTTTGAGCAAACAATTGCCCACCAACAAAACCAAAATACGGTCAAGTGCAGGCGGAGGGGGGAGCTGGTGTCCAGGAGTGTGCTCCTGTGGCTAGAGTGCTCTGATCCATCACAAGTCCTTGGCTGGAGCTGCCTTTGACCAATGAATATTCCTCAACTAACCTCCCTGCTAACCCGTTTCCCAGGCAGCCTTCTGAAACTCCTGGGACTCTCCAGCAGGGAGGGAATCCACTAATCACATGACCTAAGCAAGGGTTGTGATCTACTTAGGACTGTCACACCATGGCCCCACTCCTCTGAGACAGGGGTTTTGGGTTGTTTTCCTTCCCCTTCCTTTTTTTTTTCTCTCATTGTTTTGGCAGAGAGGAGAAAACTTGGTGCCTCCACAAGAGCGTAGGCTGGGTGGTGGATGACCCGCTGAGGGGGACTGCACTGTGATAGAGGAATTCCTGAACAGTGGCTGAGGCTCTGTGCTCCTTCCACTCCGTTCCCTAACAGCATAGGAAGTGTAGGGCCTTCTCGATATATAAAAGGCTTCCTTACAGCTTGGTATCTCCAGAGAAACTCAGTCAGGCCAGGGCTTACAGGACCCCTAACCAGAGGGCCCTTGCAGATCCTGGTGCAGCGATGGCCTCGAATCCCCCTCAAGCTGTGCTTTCCGAGTATCCCCCAGGATACAGGCTTATATCATTGGCCAGGATACAGGCTTATATCATTGGCTTGAGGGAACGGAGTAGGGAGGAAGTGAAAGAAAAAAAAACGAGGATGGGAGTTCTGCGAACTCTTAAAATGTCCATAGAACCGGTCCAGAAAATGTTTTGAAAATGATGGCAACATATGTACAAATGTGCTTGACACCACTGGTGTATGTATGGATTGTGATAAGAGCTGTATGAGTCCCCATTAAAATGATTAAAAAAGCAAAGAACCAGTCCAAGTGGGTCCCAACCCCTTAGGTGTCCAACAACCCTTTCACAGGGGTCGCCTAAGATCATCGGGAAACATATAATTCACAATATATAATTACATATTGTTTTGTGACTAATCACTATGCTTTATGTTCAATTTGTAACAATGAAAATACATCCTGCATATCAGATATTTACATGACAATTCATAACAGTAGCAAAAGTACAGTTATGAAGTAGCAATGAAAATAATTTTATGGGGTCACCACAACATGAGGAACTATATGAAAGGGCCGCGGTATTAGGAAGGCTGAAAACCAAGGCATTAGGAAGTGGACAAGGCGGAACTGCGGAGGGTCACTCAAGAGCCGGAACGCTGCCAAATGGCTACTCACCACGTTAGAGGCGGGGCGAAGTCTTGAAGAGCCAATAAAAATAGGACAGCCAATAAAAATTAAGTGACAGCTCAGCGGGGCATGGCCTAGGAATGTCAGCGAAAGGAGGCGGAGCAGGATGGCACAGAGCCAATCAGAAGCCCAATACCTGCTGCCAGGCCACCGCTTCCAAGACAGGTAGAAAAACTCAGGCACACCTGTGCGGTCTAGTCCACTCCGACTCATAAGGACCCTTCAGGACAGCGTAGAACTAGCCGTTGTTATCTTTATGAGGACAGATCGCCAGGCCTTTTCTCTGCGGCGCAGCCCGGCGTCTCCGGCAGCCTGCGCGGGCGGGGCATCGGGAAGAGCCAATCAGCAGCCAGGGCTCGCAGCTGGGGGGCGGAGGCGGCTTCCGGAGCTGCTCTCGGGGCTGCGCGGCCGGCCTCAGTCCTGGGCCGCTGGAGCTGCAGTACACCCGGCCCGCAAGCTGACGGGTGAGCTGAGCTGGGGTGAGCGGAGGCGAGCCCCAGCTTCCCTGGGGCAGACACCTCCGTGCCAAAGGGCGGGGCTGGGGCCCAGCTCCCCGTCCCCCGGGGCAGACGCTGGCGCCGGTAGCGCTGCGGACCCAACGGGAGTGCCCGAGGCCCTCTTCGCTTCAGTCTCTCCCCTCGGGCAGGCCAGGCTCCGCATCCCGCTGCTGCCCATCGGCCCGCGCCCTGCTGCAGCGGCCTCCGAGTTCCGGGTGGGTGGCCCAGTCTTGAAACATCCGAACCTAGAGGCGCCGAGGCCCTGCCCTACTGTTTCCTGGTCCCCTTTGAGAATAAACAGGCCGGGAGGCTGTGCAGCGAACGCGCCTCTCCTTCCGTTAGCGCCACCGATGTTCAGTAAGGGCGAATGAGCCCTGGTGGCGCTGTGGGTTAAACGTTGGGCTACTAACCCTAAGGTTGGTGGTTCAAAACCACCTGCCGATCCCCGGGAGACAGATGAGGCTGTCTACTCCTGTAAAGATGGACAACGTTGGAAACTCCATTTGGTGATAAATCAGAATCTACTCAAAATCCAGGCTCGGACTGGGTGCTGTGAAGCAAGAGATACACTTACTGGCTGTAACCCTGGTTCCCCCACCGTGGAAGCACATACCAGAAGGGATTTCAGGAGAAGGGCAGATTGCTGGGGTGGGGGTGGGTGGGGTGACTAGACTTTGTAACTCTGTGGGAGTGTGAAGGGGGAGAGAGTGCATTTCACCCAGAGTTTAAAGTCCAGCGCTCTTAGTTTTAGGACACAGGTTTTGCGAGTCTGGTGTAAACCTGGGGATTAGAAAATATTTTGCCTCCTGAGTGGTTTTTCTAGAGTGTAGTAACATAGTGCTTGCAGGGCATAGAAACTGATGTGAATCACACACACAGTTTGTTAACACAGCCATCTGTGCTGAATGCATGTTTCCTCCGTATTTCTTTGCTTTCAGGAGCTGAATGATCAGTATTAATACCTTGGCTTGGAATATATAGTCTTTATATATAAAAACTATATATTATAAATTTATATATATTTATTTATAACCATATATAGTTTATATATGGTTATAAATAAATTATAACCAATTTAAGCTGGGGGGGGGAGTATTTTAGAAGTAAAGACTGTTAGAATTAGAAAGGACTTTGAGACAGTCTACTTCACCTCTCTTTTAGAGGAGAAATGAGTGGGTAACAGAAAAACCCAAACCAAACCCACTGCCAGCTAGCTGATTCCAACTCATAGCAACTCTATAGGACAGAGTTGAACTGCTCCATCGGGTTTCCTAGGTTGTAAGTCTTCACTGAAGCAAACTGCCTCATTGTTCGCCCCAGGAGAACTCTTGGTTAGCAGCCCAAGGTTTAACCCACTGCACCACCTGGGATTGTTTAGGTAACAGAGCTGATAGATGCTCCTGTCTACTACACCAGGCTGTCTTTCTGATGGCCGGAGTTGTCCAACATTGCTTTAAGCTGCTTTAGAAAGCATGACTCTTCAAACCGGCTGGAAAAGCTCCTCTCAAAGATGCTGTGGGCCTTTTCTGAACTAGCACTGAACTTGACCTTCATTGACTGTGTGCAAGGTTCCTTTCAGCTGATTCAGATCAAATTCAGTATTGTCCTGCAGCCCTTAAGGTTTTGGGTGTTGGGAAAAACTCCAATTTCAATTTCAGGTTAAAGTTTCATGTCATATTACATTGTGAAAACTAATCTGACACCAGCTTGCAGACCTCTGGAAAGAATGTTAACATTCCATTTAAACCCCAGATGTAGTGTGAAAGGATAAGTATATTGGTTCCCAGAAGTTTCAGGTGCAAAGACTGTTTTGAAACCCTATTTGGGCTTTGAGACAGTATCTGTAGTAGACCAAGCTGAGCAGCTTAGCTTGGCTTCTGGAAGACAATGTTCTGGTCAGGAGAAGGGATTGTGTATGCTACCACTCTAACAGGTGCTAACAGCTTGCCAGTGACACAAGAAGCTACATGCAAGTTTGGAGGTGGGAAATCACCCTGGGTGGGAAACTGGGGACCACCATGGCATGGAATCAGGGGAGATGGCATTTGTGGGGTATATGCTGATGATCATTTTGTGTCACTATCAGAGGACCCCTGGTGGCACTTTCAGGTAAGATTGAACTGCTAGATCAGAGGTTCAAACCCACCAACCAGTACACAGAGGAAAGATGAGGCTGCCGGCTCCTGTAAATGTCCACAGCCTTGGCCAGGGTTCCTCTGAGTCGTAATGGACTCCATGGCAGTGAAGATAATGTGGGGTCACAATGAGTCACCAACTCAAGGTGTAACTCTTTTTGGGGAACCACCCCGTTACTTTCGTGGCTCGCCCTTATTTCTCTTGGCAGTAGAAA